ACAACAAATACGTAACTATCAACAAGTGAATCTAAAAACCAAGGAAACTAAAAAAAAAAAATCTGAGGAACAATATTAACTGTTGAATATAATAGAATCAGAGGTATGGAAGGGGAGTGAACTGTTTATTCTTGGGGAAAAGGGGAGAGGGGTATGTGGGAAGAGACTGAACATAAACTGTGCACCTATGGATGAGGACAATGGGGGGTGGGGAAAGGGCAGAGGGTGGGGTGAGAAGGGGGGGGAAAGGAACATTTGTAATAATATGAACAATAAAAATTTATTTAAAAATAAAAAATAAAAATAAATTAAAAAATAAAAAAATTAATTATATTGTTATATATTCCAGCAATTAGAAAGTAGACATTAAAAAAAATACCATTCGTAATAACATGGAAAAAAAAAACCACAAAAAAACAAATACCTAAGAAGAAATTGAATGAAAGATCTTCAAGACCTCCACACACAAAAAACCTATAAACTGTTATTGAGGAAAGAAGGCATATGTTAATGCCACTGTGTTTGTGATTTGAAAAACAATATTGGTAAGACTCTATTTGAATTGATCTACAAACCTGTAGATTTAATGCACTCCAATCAAAGTCCCAGAAGGTTTTCTGTGGGATTCTAAAATGTTTACGTTCTTGAAGAAGAGCACAGCTGGAGGACATACCCAGTCAGATACGAAGACCAGGTGTAAGGCCCCAGGGATGAAGACTGCACCCATGACGGAAGGTGGACACACAGACTCATGGAACAGAGTGGGAAGGGAAGAAACAGACTGCATAGATGCAAACAATAGATCCATGACTAAAGCAGCTTGCAGAAAGAGGAGGAGAGGGTGATATTTTGAGTAAACAGAGCTGGATCCTTCATTTGAATTCCTCGGTTGCAGGCTTGGTCCCCGGCTTCCAAAATAAAACCTGCGAGGATATCTTCATGACCTTGAGGTAAGCTAAGGTATTTTTTAAAGGACAACAGTGTAATGGCAGTTTCTGTCCCCCCAGGACGCCACCTGGAGGCACAGAAAGGCTGGGAGGCCAGTGGCTGAGGGGGAAAGGTGTTTCTGAAGCACCGCCTTCCAGAATATGGTCAAATGTTCTGAAAATTAATAGACAGGGTCAGCATCCAATTGGAAAGGGCATTTGAATGGGAGGATGGTGACGGCTGGTCAGTTCACAGGATTAAGCTCCATGGCACAGGCCTTCAAAGAAATGCAGGTTAAAAACCACAGATGATTGCCCTAGCTGGTTTGGCTCAGTGGTTATGGTGTCGATCCTTGGACCCAAGGGTTGTGGGTTTGATTCTGGGTCGAGGGCATGTACCTCAGTTGCAGGTTCCCCAGCTTTGGTAGGGGCACATACACCAGGCAGCCAATTGATGTGTCTCATTCACGTCGGTTTCTCTCTCTCCCTCCCCCCACCCTCTCTCTCTCTCTCTCTCTCTCTCTCTCTCTCTCTCTCTCTCTCTCTCTCCCTTCCCCCCCACCCTCCAAAAATCAATGGAAAAAAAATATCCTTGGGTGAGGATTCTCAAAAAAAAACACCAAAACAGAACAAAATAAAACAACTTCACAGGTGACTATTTAGCACTGGCACAATGGCCACAGGGAAACTAAGCAAGGACACCAAGCTGGCAAGGGTGTGGGGCCTCCCTGGGGAAGCGGGTAACTGGCCCCACCCCTCTTGCAGGCCATGGCAGCATCCCTTCCAGTTGGGCACGTGCACCCTGAGGAGAAGCGGTTCTACCGGGAATACGACATGTGTGTGCCAGAGACAAGGACAGATCTCACAGAGGCTTTGGTGACAGTGGCCCACACTGGCTACTGCCCAAAGCAGTAGAAAAATACGTGAGCTGTGGCACGCCACCCCAGGGGCCCCGCACAAGCAGATGCTTACCTATTTATAGAACTACAGACCAAGGAGAGAGCTGTTAGTGTTCACCTCCAGTGTTCTCTATGGAGCATGTTTTTCTTTTGCAATACAATCCTGGCATGTCAGGCGTGGCTGAGGAGACAGGATGAGGAGACGGCCTCCGGCTGCGGATGCCTTCGGATGGGTGTGCCTCCTGAGAAGATCCTCACCAGGAGACCCACTCTGTGTCTTCATCGTGGACAATGTAACTTTCCACAATTTACTCCAATGACCTCTCCAGTTTGGCAACTAACAGAGCTTATTAAGAGACACTTCCATAGAAAGCATATCTTAGGAGGGCATCCTCCACACTGCTTGGCAGGTGCCAGAGAAATACGAAGAGCAGGCAGGGTGGGCAGGATAAGGGAGTGTGACCCAGCCCAGGCATGGAACCGTCCTCACATGCTTGGCTGGGTCAGGACCATGGCCGGCCCAGGGCCGAGGGAAAGCCTCTACTGCTGTCATCTCTGTGGAGTTTGGGGAACAGTCTCTGTCCGGGCCCACGTCTGGCTGGCAGGCCAGCCACGTCATGGAGCACTCTCTCCTCCTCAGGACGGAGGCATCTGTTCCCGGCCTGCCTGGACCTGCCATCCAGGGAGGGCACCACCAGCCTCCAGTTGCAGGAACCCTCCCTGGTCCGAGTATTTCCGAGGCCTCAGACGCAAGAGGGGCGTTATCAGGAGTCAGAGACACCCCACCCTTGTGGCCCTCACATTCTCCCACCCTTTCTTACCCCCGTGGCCCTCACAGCCTCATAAGGAGGAGAGCCTGTAAGCAATTAGCCAAGTAACTGAGTCACCTTCACAGCGTGTTCGAAGGAAAAGCAGAGTTCAGTGGAGTAGGGAGCGGGGGTTAGGCTGCGTGTTAAGAGAGTACCAGGGTGGCCCCATGGTGGCTACACTATGACTTGAAGGTGGAAGGAAGGACTGGCAGACACCGTGGGAAGATGGCTCCAGGCAGGGGAAGCAGGCATGGGCCTGGGGTGCAAGGTCGGACCTTCCAAAGGGGGTTATGGGTCCTGGCAGGTCAAATGCCAGCCCCGAGCCTTCCCTTTGGAGAAACAGGATGGAAGTTTGGAGCAGGAGGAACAGGGGATGCCATGCCCTCACCAGGCTGCAAGAACGTCCTGCTCTGTCTCCTGACCGGCCTATCTCCTTTTCTCTTTCCCTCTCCTGTGAGCCCCGTACCCCGAATCTGCCCTACATATCAGCATGCTCAGACCACAGAGGCCGCTTGCAGCCCCATGAGCCCACGGCGCCATCGCAGAGGTGCCTGCCTTCTCAGCCCTCCGCCCAGACCCTCACCCAGGGCCGTGGAGGACCCAAGTGCCTCTGGAACCCTGACTAAGTCGGTCCCAGACCCCTTCATCCGTGTCAGCAAGATCCCAGCTGCTCAGAGTCACACTTGGCCCCTGGCCTTCAGTCTGCCAGGCACCATTTCTGGATATTTTCTAGGAAAACTGCTGTGGAGTTGGTTGTATACGTGTCTCACAGCTTAGGAAAGAGCCTCAGGGCCCTCGAGCCAGTGGGGTTGGGGCTCTCAGAGGCTGCAGTTCTAGGAATGTGGGTCCAAGTCCAGTTCCTGCCACTCAGGCTTCCTCTGCGAGGGAGTGGCCAGAAGAACCCACTGGTGAAACTAGACATTCACCCTCCACCCAGCACCTGGCTCCGTGCCTGTCTCCTGTGGACATGTCTAGGTCAGAACCACACCTCACTCCTCCCCCTTGCTGGTCCTCAGGGTCCAGTCAGCCCTCCCCCAGTCCCCACCCGAGGCCTGGCCAGCCGGGAGCACCTCTCTCCTGCTCCCCTGTCCCTGTCAGGAGCCAGATGTCCCCGAGAGCAAACCGGATGGATCTCTTCCTTCCAGCCTCCACCTTTCCCCAGTCTCCCCCCTCCATGGGGTCAAAGGTCAGGCTCTTGACTTTACTTGTGCCTAGTGACCCCCACCCGCCTTCCTGGATTGTTTGGTAAGCTTGGTGTGAACCAGTTAAGCAGGGTCAGGGCATCGTTACCATCCAGTGGCGAGGACCACAGATGACAGCTACACAGAGACAGAAGGACACACCCATCCTTCTAGGAAGGCCGCCGGGAGTGAGGGTGGGGTGGGCGGTCAGCGGGCACAGACTGCCAGGAAGGGCTCGCAGAGCACTGACCAGAAGGCTGGACACAGGCTGGTGGGAAGGCCGTCCTGAAGGAAAGTCCAGCCGAGGGATGACTGTCCGGTGGTCACTAGCCCCAGGGAAGGTTCTGTGGGGGAGGGGGAAATCACTGAGCTCGGGATCTCATGTGGGGATGAGGGGGCCAGAGCTTGGAGGCACACCCCCACCTCACTCCCTGAACTGGGAACTGTGCTCAAAAGCCCTGGTTTTGGCCCGGCCGGTGTGGCTCAGTTGGTTAAGTAGTGTCCTGTGCACACGAATGTTGCCGGTTCCATTCCTGGTCAGGGCACATGCTCAGGTTTGGGGCTTGATCCCCAGCTGGGGGAGTGCAGGAGGCAGCTGGTCAGTTGGTGGAAGGACAGAAGCTGGTCAGTTGGTGGAAGGACAGAAGCCCTGCACTGGTGGAGAAGCCTGGAGGCTGCTCAGTGGGTGGGGACGGTGCACTCCCAGAGCCCAGGGAGAGCGCATGGGAAGAGCATCCTGAGGGGCCACATCCACAGGGCTCTGGGCACCGGCCACTCTGAGTAGCTATTTAGAGCAAAGTGTGACCAGGGCAGTGGCTGGTCCCGGGGTCCAGAGCTCCAGCTCATGTTTCTGGACTGGAGGGGGGCAGGATGGGGGTACCCCAGCACCCAGCCTGTTGGCAGAAAGAGCTGTGGAGAGAGGATCCCTCTGGCAGCCTCCCGCAGGTGGGAGTGTGTGACTGGTGGGGAGTAGGGGGCTTCGAAGGTCCAGGCAGGGCCATGGATGGGGCCTTTTGCCCTGGGCTCCTCCTCCCTGGGAGCCTGGCTATCTGAGCCCATGCGGGGGTGGGGGCGGCTCCTCTGTGCCCGGGACTCTGTTTGCACAGGGGGAGGGGCTGGCCGGTGCCAGCTGAGAGCCTCAAAGGGTCGGCCAGCGCCTCTGCAGATAAGGCATTAACAGTCCCGTGGACTCACCCTTCGGATCTGCTGACGCTTCCTTTCAGCCTAGGTGCTTGGGGTGAGGTGCCAAAGGTTCCCTATAAAGTGCTGGGGCTCCGGCTGTGTCCACTCGACCTCCAGCTCCTGTCCTGTCCCGCCAAGAGGGACCTACCTGTGATCACCATGGTGAGGCTTGTGCTGCCCAACCCGGGCCTGGACGACCGAATCCCCTCCCTGGGGCAACTGGAGGTCCTCGAGAAGGAGGAGGCCAGCTCGCGGCCCAAGTGGGACAACAAGGCCCAGTACATGCTCACCTGCGTGGGCTTCTGCGTGGGCCTGGGCAACGTCTGGCGCTTCCCCTACTTGTGCCAGAGCCATGGCGGAGGTAGGCTGGGCAGGAGGGCAGGTTGGGGGTCCAGGCAAACAACATTGGCGTCCTCAGGACCCCAGCACCCCGTTCATAGAGGGGAGACGTTTCAGGGCAAAGGGCTGGGGCAGGACAGCACAGGTGTGTACCCTCCACCCCTTCACTGGTCCGCTCAAGCCCCATGTTGGCACCGAGAGCAGGCTGGGCAGAGGGCCGGGCTGGAACATGGGCTCAGGTGCCTACATGTTCACTCCGCTCCTGTTCGCCCAAGTTGGCGAGGGAGGTCCAGTGCTGTCCCACACGCCCAAGTGCTGTGTCAGTGGAGGCCACCCTTGCTCCAGGACCCAGGAGCCCTGACCGGCCCCCAGAGAACAGGCCTGACCTGCTGGTGGGGGGAGGGACAGAGAGGGACCAGGTGCTCCTCTGGATGGAGCCCCTTCTGTGAGGGTGGATGGTGCCAGCAGGAGGGACAGTAAGGCCAGCCCTCCTTTGAGGGACACATTCTTCGTTCCTGAGGGACAGAGCAGGGAGCTGGAGAAACCGGCAGGCGGGCTCCTGATCGGAGGTGGGAAGGCTGCATCCCCCAGGGAACACTGCCTCAGCCAGTCCTGCTGCCTCCAGACGTCTCTGGAGCTTTGCCTGTGGCCTAGGGGTCTCCTTTCCCTGAGCTGAGGCCACTCCCTCTCCCCCAGCTGCAGAGACCACCTTGGGGCTGCTGGGTCTCAGTCCCCATGCTTTTGTCCTTCCACCCATCCTCCCGGTGTCAACAGGCTTCAGGGTTGGAGATCACACCTGTGGTCCCATCAGCCCCCATGCACCTGTGGCTTCTGTCTCCCCTGAACCCCAGCTTGGGAGGGGAGCTGCTGCCAAGAGCTCCGTGGCGGGAAGGGGAACAGCTGTGCTTGCTCTGAGAGAAGGTCCAGGCCGGTGCTGTGCTCCCCGAGGTATAGGCTCTGCAGAGCTGGCTGGACGCTCTGAGGATGCTTCTGCTGCTGAGGGCTTCTGAATATCCTCCTCTCAAAGCACAAATCCTCTCTAGTGATGTGGGTTTGTTCTTACTCTGAAGAACCTGCCAGCTCTCACCAGGCTTTGTGGCAGAAAAGAAAGCTTTACGGTTGTTCCCAGGCCACCTTTGTGACCCACCCCCCTTTCCATGGCCCAAAATGTCTGGAAGCTTCTGAATGTCTGGGAGGCTCTGTCTTTACACCTGGGGCTCATCCTGTGCTTTCCAGATAGTCTTGTGAGTCACCTCTGCACGGTGGAGGGGTGAATGGAACCCTGGGAGTCTGTGGGATGGCCCCGCAGTAGAATCACTTAGTCCTAGAAGTCAGCTACCTCTTCCCTCTGGAAGGTCCTGGTCATTTCCCCACCCCCACCAGGGCTGCCCGGGACAGGGTTCTGGCAACACCTGCAGCATTTACTTAGTTCCAAAGGGAAGGGTCTGAGGGGGAGGGAAGGGCTGAGACTGAGAAGTGTTCACCCCTGGGGTGCAGCACACACTCACCGTGAGTCTGAGGGGTAATGCAGGGACACTGCCTCCAGACACTGTGGATGAGAAGGAGCTGTCCCACCTCACCCCTGGTCCTGTTGAGTGGACAGACAACCATTGAGGACAGTGATAACCTCCCAAGCCTGGGAGACAATTGCTGAGGACAGTGATAAGAAGCCAACAGCAGGAGAAAATTGCTGAGGACAATGACAGGGTGTGGCAGGTGACTCCTCCCGGTGGCATTTCCCAAGCCTGTAGCCCCAGATCTCCGGTGAGGGAGTGATTGGGAAACTTGGAGAGAAAATGAAGGATCTGAGGACTTTGAGGACCGGTCCTGGTTTGATGAAAACTTAGTTTTTCTTCAATTATTTATAAGAGTTTGGGGTAATTTGAAAAGTAAAAACAAATAATCATTTACTTTGTGTTTAACTTTATATTATGGAAAAAAAAAAAAGGCAGAAAAGTAGAGAAAGCTACAGGGGAGACCCTTCCCCTCATGGCCTAGAGCAGCACCTGCAGCACATTGCCACGCTGAGTGGGGCGGTGGCCGTGTGCATGTGGGTGTGCACACAGAGCCTTCATTGAGATGTGTTCTCACGTGAGGGCCCCACCTTCTAGATCTCGGATGGGGCATCTCTGTGACCAAAGGGCAGGTACATGGGGCACCAGGTGGGCCGTGTCCTCTGCCTGTGTCACCTCAGCTGCCTCCGCCTAGTTCTCTTTTCTCCGTGTTGTGCATCTGCTGTCAGCAAGCAGCAGGGTGAAGTCACCTCGGCAGAGTCCGTCTTGCCACCACTCAGAGGAAATGGGCACGTGTCATGTGTCTCTCAATGGGTCAGTGAGGACTGAATCAGGTGGCAGGGGCAGCCCAGGGGAGAGGCCAGTGCCTCTCCTCATTCAGCCTTCAGGGAACAGTGAGAGGAGCTGGGGGCCCCAAAGCCCCAGTGTGGGTGCTGGGACAGGTGGGTTCACGGGCCCTTTTTCTGAAGACGGGTATCTCAGATGTTTCAGAAGCCAGCCCTGAGCTGAGTGAATATGACCATCTGTGTCCTGGCCCTGCTTACTCTCGTGTGCACCTTCTGGGCCTTGAGGCTCCCCCCTAAAATGGGAAGTGCTGGAGAGTTCTGATCCAAGGGCTGCACTGCAGAACTGCTCTGTCGAGCTGTGAGCTTTGCAGACCTAGAAGTGGGGGGCATGCAGGAGATTGAAACCAGGGGACTTGGTCAGAGTCAGCACTCACCCTGCTCCCTGAGTTGGCCACAAAAGCTGGGTCTCCGTGACCAGATGGTCTACCGCCAAGAGTTCGGCACCAGCACCAGGCCCAGGAGTGTGTCCAGGGGAATTGCATTCACCACACATCAGCCCACAACCTCTGTTCTCTGCGTGAATGCACCACGTGTCTGTCCCAGTGCTGTCACCTGACACAAGGCATATTTCTCACCCCGTTTTAGGTGGATGGAGCTCAGTGTGGGGGTGGGGCAGGGACAACTAGGAAGCAACACAGCCCAAGGACCATGCTGTCTGCTCAACACTGGGCCACCCATGTGCCTTTCCAGCCTGGTCCCTGGGGCTGGCCCTTCACTACTGGTCCTGGCCCTGCACCCGGTCAGCAAATAGTCCTCGAGCTTTTCCCTTGTGCCACACACCACCTGCAGGGAGAGAGATGCAGGAAAGCCTTAGACCCTGCCGGTAAAGACAGCAGCTGCCCCTACCCAGTTGTCCCTCTTTTTCCTTCTCCACCTGCTTCCTAAATTCTCAAAGATAAAGTTGCATCTCTTTATTTTAGCTTATTTTTATTTTGAGAGAGAGAGAGAACATTGACTTATTGTTCTACTTATTTATGCATTCATTGGTTGATTCTTGCATGTGCCCTGACTGGGGATTGAACCCGAATATTGAGGTATCAGGATGATGCTCTAACCAACTGAACTACCTGACTAGGGCCAAGGAAGTTGCATTTCTATGCTAGTGTTTTTTTCTTCTGCGGGACCTTTACACCTTGCCTTGTCCCTCCCGTCTCTGCCTCTGTGTGTGTGTGTCCATCAGTGTGCAAGAGCACACACAGGACTGCAGGCAGACAGGCGTGTCAGGCGCCCACCACGTTACACCTGGAGGAGCTGCCGCGAGGAGCTGCCAGGAGCGCAGGCAGCAGAAGCTTCCTAAGGAGCAAGCATCCAAGTGGGGTTTTCAGGGATGAATAGGAGTTTCCTGATGGAGATGGAGGGGCGGTGGGACCTGTGGGTAAAAGTGACTTCAGGAAGAAGGGATGGGATCAAAGGGTATCTGAGAGCCACGGACTTTGTTTTTCTCAATAGTTTTGCCCAAAAGACATTCACATCAAACTTCTGGGAAAACAGTAAAGAGGCAAATCTTTTCTTATTTTCACTTTACCCTCACTGATACGTCGACCCAGTGAGCCTGCAGCCCCAGTCGCACCCTAGACCTAGGGTAACTCCCCCCTCCTCTCCTGCAGGAGATCCAGCAAGGGGATCATCACTGCTGCTCTCTGCTTTTCATCTCATTGTCACACTGAGCTCACCATCACTTTGAATGAAGGTTCCATGTGCTGCCCATGTCTTCTTGTTGGATTTTGAGCCCCAAAAGGGCTCCCTCTGACCTCCCGCTGCTCCTCCCAGCATGTGGACACCTTCCTTACTTCCCCAGGAGCTGTGATATGCTCACCCTGTAGGACAAGCACGGTCTTGGAGGGACAGTAGACAAGCCGGCCACTGTCATGATGGCATGAAGCATCCCCCATAAGACAGTGCTGATGGCCGTCAAGAGTGGTGTATGTGAGGGTGTGGTTCTAAGTCTGTATTTGTGGGCAAATTCTGCAGGCACTTTCTTTTTTTTTTTCTTTTTTTATAACATATTTTATTGATTTTTTTACAGAGAGGAAGAGAGAGGGATAGAGAGTTAGAAACATCAATGAGAGAGAATCATTGATCAGCTGCCTCCTGCACACCTCCTATTGGGGATGTGCCCACAACCAAGGTACATGCCCTTGACCGGAATTGAACCTTGGATCTTTCAGTCTGCAGACCGATGCTCTATCCACTGAGCCAAACCGGTTTGGGCTCTGCAGGTACTTTCTACCAACGCCTGTGTCTCCAGAGCCGGCCCTTGGCCACCTGGCGTGCGTTACCTGATACACAGATGCCTTTCCCCCACCAGGAGCATTCATGATCCCGTTCCTCATCCTGCTGGTGGTGGAGGGCGTCCCCTTGCTGTACCTGGAGTTCGCCATCGGGCAGCGACTGCGCAGGGGCAGCGTGGGCGTCTGGAGCTCTATCCACCCAGCCCTGAAGGGCATAGGTGTGTGTCTGGGCCCAGCGGGTGGGACCCCTGCCAGGCTTCCTCCTTCTCTCCTTTTGCCTGTCTCCAGTGGACTCATCCCCCCCCCCCCCTCCCAAGCCTCTGCAAGCCCTTCCTTAGCATCTCACAGAAGTGTAGGTGGCAGGGTCCAGGCTAGGATCATGCCTGGCCACTAAAGCCAGCTGGGCAACAGAGGCTATCCTAAATCCCGGGTGTCCAGGCCTGGGAATGTGTATAGGTGGAAAGAGTTGAGTCCCCCGTGCTGCCTACAAGAGGGCTCAGCAAGCACCTGAAGACCACCACTCTGTTTTCTGGAACCCTGAGTCTATTCACACTGAGTCCTCAAGGGGCTCCCCAGCACAATCCCTTCCTGCTAACAGTGCCCAGACCCCAGTGGGGCCCCCGTGGTACTGCCTAGTGGTGTCCCCAGCAGTGTTGATTGCCCCCTAGGGATTGCGTCCATGTTCGTGTCCTTCATGGTGGGCCTCTACTACAACACCATCATCGCCTGGGTCATGTGGTACTTCTTCAACTCCTTCCAGGAGCCCCTCCCTTGGAGCACGTGCCCGCTCAACGACAACCTAACAGGTGTGTCCAGGGCAGGGTGGGGTCAGGGGTAGGAGGACAGGGTGGCTGGTGGTGCGAGAGCATGTGCACCTTTGAGCATACAGAGTCCATGAGTAGTCACCCCTTGATTTCCTCAAATGCAAAAATCGGAGCACATTTACGGCAACAGGGAATTTTTAAAAATCGCTGTGCCAGAGAAAAGCCCTCAGGAGGTGGTACCGGCCAAGATTATAATGAAGGAAAGGAGGGAGGGACCTGCTGCTCCCTGACCTCTCACAGGGGAGGCCTGATTCTCCACTGTCCCTTCCCACCACATTCCCCAGGGACTTTTTGGGATCCCCTCAGCTGTCACCAGACTCCAGGCTCACAGCTCTGCCTGGGGCCTCTGTGGGACACAGGCTGTGTGCTCAGCTCCACAGCTTGCACACATTTGCCCGATCTGTAAGCATGGGTTCAATAAGCAGAAAGTAGTCAGTGCATGGTGTGTGTGTGTGTGTGTGTGTGTGCGCGCGCGCGAGCACATGCACATGTGTATGTCTAGTGTGCTCACACTTCTGTGTGCACACATATATGCACATGTTTACATTCAGGTATGCCCATGGGTGCATATGTGTCTTATGAGTATGTATACATGTGTGCATGTGCAAATGTGTGAAGGTATGCTTAGATGCATGCACACGTGCATGTCTGTGTGGGTATGTACGTGTGCATGCACACATGCAGTTATGCTTGTATACATGCACATGTGTCTGTGTGGGTATGTACATGCATGTCTGTGTGCACTATGTTCCTGGTATCAGTGAGTTGGGAGCACAGCATTGCCATGTTCCCCATCCTCCTCCAGGGTTCCCTATGACCCACACTGATGATGTGAGTGCCCCCTGCAGGCTATGTGGAGGAGTGCACCCGCAGCTCTTCCGTGGACTACTACTGGTACAGAGAGACCCTCAACATCTCCACCTCCATCAGCGACTCGGGCTCTGTGCAGTGGTGGGTTCTGCTCTGCCTGACCTGTGCCTGGTGTGTCCTCTACGTGTGCACCATCCGTGGCATCGAGACCACCGGCAAGGTGCGGGCTGGGCTTGGGGAGCTGCCCCTTAATCAGCTCTGAGGGTTACCACCCCATGTCCAGGAGAGGCCTCCAGCTTGGCCCTGGGGACATAGTGCTGGCTTGGATGGTCCTCAAACCTGTGCTTAAAAAGCTGTAGCAAGAGTGACCCACAGTAGTTCTCTGACTAGGAGGACCGAGTAGTCATCATTACAAATACAGCCATAGGAAACGTCAGGTCTCCCTGCCCTGGGAGCTGGGGCCAGAGGGGTGCCTGGAGGAACAGAGCCAGGGTCCTTTCTCACTGTAGGTTCTGTGTTCCCCTTCATCCCACTTCTGCCCTGTCCCCAGGCTGTGTACATCACCTCGACACTGCCCTATGTCGTCCTGACCATCTTCCTCATTCGGGGACTGACACTAAAGGGAGCTACCGACGGTATCATCTTCCTCTTCAAGCCCAATGTGAGTCTCCCACTGCCCACCCTGGGGCTCCTGTTCTTGTGGGAGAGGACACCCTGGGGGATGGGCCCCCCCACCTGAGACCAGCCCTGGCCAGTCCCAGGCCCCTCAATGCATGCATGCTGGGCCTGTGAGCTTGAGGGAGGCCCTGTGTGGATTGATGGCAACCACCTCCAAGTTATCAGTTACCACCTTTAGAGGGTGTTGTTTGTTATGACCACTGCCCAGCAGCCTCAGCTGTCACCAGCCTCCAGGCTCACATCTCTGCCTTGGGCCACTACCTCCTGGGTTTCCTGTGACCCTTCATCCTTGGGGTGCCAGCTAAGGGTCTCTGTTTGGCTGCAGATCACGGAGCTGTCCAACCCACTGACTTGGCTGGATGCGGGGGCCCAGGTCTTCTACTCCTTCTCGTTGGCCTTCGGGGGCCTCATCTCCTTCTCCAGCTACAACTCCGTCCAGTGAGTGTGGACAGGGGTTGTGGGCTGGGCAGAGGATCATGGGGTCCAGGGCTCCGTGCCAGGGAGGCAGGCTTAGGATCTGGGAGATTTTCACACACTAGGTACCTCACACTTTGACTGTCCTCCCCATGGTCCTTGGTCTTTGGGATGACGAGCCCTGGTGTGCTCCCCTCCATCCCCTATTGCCCTTCTGGTTGCCCCTCAGCATCCAGGACTCTAAATGCCCAGCCACCATAGTCCATCCCAGACCAACACCCACACAGAAAGGGCCTTTAGGGGTCTTCAGAGGAAGAAAATTGTTATCAATTCATCTCCACAAACACTTACAGAGCACCTACTCTGTGCCCTGCATGGAGCATGGGGTTCTGTCCTCCTAAGACCTGTGCCTGTGGCATCCTAGAGAAACAAACAAAATGAGCAGGAGGAGGGGTCCCTGGAGGGGTGTGGGACCAGGCTGGGGTCCTCAATGGGATGGGCTCATGTGCAGAAGGTGCAGTGTGAGCACTCAGGCAGGGAGGGGTGAGTGCTGGTACCTGCTGGCTGCTGGTCACTGGCTGTGGGAGGTGGTCTCAGAGGGTGGGAGCCAAGCAGGGAAATGGTGAGGCCCAATTTCTCCACACCTGTTACCATATGACTTTTTGAGTCTCTCCATCCTGGTGGGTGAGATTAGGTCTCTTACTGTGCTTTTATTTGCATTTCTCTGAGAGCTGAGGGTTTAGGTTTCTGCTGGAAGCATCTAGAAGGATGTATTAGCATTAACAGTGGGGCCAGTGGGAGAGCTGCTGGGTTGGGTTGGGGAGGTCGGGGATTGGGTTTTGGACACATTGAGCCAGGAAAGTCTTTAGGCTCTGGATGGAGATGGGAACCCTCCGCTGGAAGGAGACAGGACTTGGAGGCGAGGGCAGGGGGTTTCCGGTGGGATAGGGAGCATAGGAGGTGATGGGGGAGGTAGGCCACCTCCTCAAAGCTTTTGGGGTGCAGCTGTGAGACCTTAGCCAGTCCCAACAGCATGAGGCTGAGTGCCCACCCTCTGGGCACAGAGCACCTGCTGACCAGGCAGGGATTGGCACAGGGTTTCCCACCCAGCTTTGGAATGCTGAAAGCTCTAGAAGTTCCCAGGGCTTTCAGGGGTCTCCAGACCACCAACTTGCAGTGAAGTGGTAAGAAGGGCAGGAGTAAAGGCCACTGGCTGGGGGATGGCCCTCTGGTCACCTCTTGCTGGGTGCAATGGGAAAAGACAGGTGGGAGGCCTCTGTCCCCTCTCCCGCAGCACCCCAGTAGCTCAGGCTCAGGGCAGGCTCCGTGCCTGTGCTGCCATGGCCGGGCAGGTGGGCACGGTGTCTGGGCCTGCAGTGACCCGACGCCACTCTCATCTGCAGCAACAACTGTGAGATGGACTCTGTAATCGTGTCCGTCATCAACGGCTTCACATCCATGTACGCAGCCACCGTGGTCTACTCCATCATCGGCTTCCGAGCCACAGAGCGCTATGACAACTGCTTTAACCAGTGAGTGCTCCTCCCGGCCCACACCCACCTCCGAGGAGCCTGCCAGGCCTGCGCCACCCAGGGCCCATGCCAGCCTCACTCTCTTTTCTTTCCAGGAATATCCTGACACTCATCAATGGGTTTGACTTGCCCGAAGGCTCTGTCACCGAGGAAAACTTTCTGGAGGCACAGCAGTGGTGCAATTACTCTAACCCCACGGCCTTCGCCCAGCTGCAGTTCCAGACCTGCAACAAAGACTCTTTCCTGTCAGAGGTGAGCGAGTCTCTCTGCGGCAGCGCAAGGCAGGGGAGGGGACACCCTTGAGGGACACTGAGCTCCCCCAGGATCTCAGTTCCTGGAGGTCTGTCTCCATCCTGCCCGCCTCTGATCCTCCTGCCTCACCCCAGTGCTTGCACCCCTGGGTCCCCTCCGTCACACACCTGCTCTGCACCTGCTCTCACTGGCTCTAATCAACCAATGGGCCACACCTTCAGGGCAGCTATTTAGATCACGCAGGTCCTGTTGAAGTCATTTGGGGGCTCTTAAAATGGCCGGGGGAGTGGGGGTGCATCTCAGGAATCGTCTGTGGAGGGCGTGGCGCCCTGTATGAGCTCTCAGCAGTCTGAATAGCTGTCAGGTGTCTGTCCAGACAGCTTGGGCCCTGACTGCTGCTGGGAAATGTGATCCCCTTCCTGTCTATTTACCACAGTTCAGCTTTTAAAAACATAGTTGAGCTGAAGAGACAATGACCATTATTTCACAAGATGCTCTCCACAGTGAGGGCGTGGCCTGTGGAGAGCTGACCAGTGTTTGGCAGGGAAGGAGAGGGATGTGTGTGACTGAGGCTGGGAGACCTGTGTGGGTGACACTCTGCTTGTCCATGCAGGGCGTGGAGGGCACGGGGCTGGCGTTCATTGTCTTCACGGAGGCCATCACCAAGATGCCCATATCCCCTCTGTGGTCCGTGCTCTTCTTCATCATGCTCTTCTGCTTGGGCCTGTCCTCCATGTTTGGGAACATGGAGGGCGTGGTCGTGCCCCTACAGGACCTCAAAGTCTTCCCCAAAAAGTGGCCCAAGGAGGTGATCACAGGTATACAGGCCAGGGCTTGGCTGGGCAGGCAGGTGATGAGGACTGGCCTCGGGGGCCATGGCTGGGGGGCGCAAACGGGAGCTCTGTCCACAGCGGCTGTTCTCTGCCCCCAGGTATCATGTGCTTGGTGTCGTATCTCATCGCCTTTGTCTTCACTCTGAATTCCGGCCAGTACTGGCTCACCCTATTGGACAGCTATGCTGGCTCCATCCCCCTGCTTATCATCGCCTTCTGCGAGATGTTTGCTGTGGTCTACGTGTACGGCGTGGACAGGTAGGAGGGAGACCAAGGCATGTGGCCGTCTCCAACAGTCATAGGAAACTCCCATCCTGGGATGGGTTGTGTGGGCTCCAGTTCCAGGTGGAACACAGGTGTGCAAATACAGGCCTGAAAGACTGGTGTGATATGGGCATGGGTCTGGCACCTGGGTGGGTGAGATAGAAAAGAGATGGCTCCCAGATGGATGCCCACTCAGCAGTTGACACTGTACCCCCTCCAGCTTCCAGGTGCTCCCAGACCTAGCGGAGAAGGGTAGGCACAGACCAGAGAAGACTGCACAGTCTCAGGGGTGGGAAAGAGGAAACAGCCTCACAAATGAAAATACTGGCACCTCTGATCTGACCATGTGATTTAAAAACATTTATAACCCACATGTCCTAAGCAAAGTCAAAAGAGAAATTATCAGCTAGGGAAACAGTTGACAAGCATGGGGGTGAAGCACTGGTACAGTAGAAGCCCTTGGTAGGCATGACATGACCAAGGGGCCAGATAAGGAGAGGGTGCTCCGTGTCCTGTGGGGCACAGAAGCTGCCTCCAGGGCAGTGGAGCATGCAGGGAGGAGAGATGGAGGAGTGACAGGACTGGGATACTCGCTGTGGGTAAGGGGGTGTCCCCTGGACCCAGGGGCTGGGTGTTTTATGTCAACTGGGGATCCATGGCCATTGGTTGCGGGCACATTGTACATTGGCTGCGGGCACATCTGAGGTTATGGCACAGTGAGTCCTCCGCATGCTCCCTGACTGCCACCTGGCAGCTTGCATTGTGTGGCTGAGTCAGGCCCCCTGCGTGTGTGCCCTTACACACACACGTCATGGCGATGCAGAACAGGATTCATAAAGTGGGATCCCCCACCCCCAACGGCTTATGCATGCTGTCTTATTTCTGACGTTGTGGAAAGTCCATCTCCTGTCAAGGAGATGGTGCCATTTTCTGGGCCCCTTACATGGAGGATAATGAAGTGATACCCCGAGTATTTGGCCCAGAGCATGGCTGGAAGGGCTGCACAGCTCCCTTCTTTGTCTGAGTGTCTGGCTGGCTGCAGAGCTCTCTCTCTCACTAGAAAGGCCCAGAGGCCAGATAGACAGACAGAAAATGGCTTAAATGGAAGTGCACGATGTTGTCATGTGGGTGCTGCTGATGTGAAGCAGGCACGACTGGCCTGGTGTGTGCCTGTCCTCTGCGAATGGCCAAGGACACTTTGTTTTGTTTTGTTTGTTTGTTTTTAAATATATTTCATTGATTTTTTACAGAGAGGAAGGGAGAGAGAGAGAGAGGGAGCTAGAAACATCGATGGGAGAGAAGCATCCACCAGCTGCATCCTGCACACCTCCCACTGGGGATGTGCTCGCAACAAATGTACGTTATCTTGACCGGAATTAAACCCGGGACCTTTCAGTCCGCAGGCTGACACTCTATCCACTGAACCAAACTGGTTTCGGCCCACAGACACTTTGAAGTCAGACACTCACTGCTGGGCGTCCCAGGCAACTCGGCCTCAAGGAGGCCACATGAGCAGGAGGCTGAGAGCCAGGCATGGCCCCAAGCTGAAGAGACTGGTCACCACATTCCCAGACCCTGCTGGGAACAAGGCCTGGGCACCTGTCCTTTTCCAGAAGTGGGCTCCTGGGGGTCCTGGTCAGCTCTCCATTCTGATTTCCATAGATAATAAAGACTTTTGTGCTAGAAGAGAGTTCAGCACAACATGGGCAGGGGATGGTAGGGCCTCCAAGGTCAGGACCACTGCCCCGCTGAGGACGTGGGCTGAGCTTCCTTCCTCCATTTCAACAGAAGTGTTGACCCTTATTTGCAAAAGTGGCTGCCCAGGCTGTGTGAGCCCACAAGTCAGAACACCTGGGCTGTGGCTCTGTAGGGAGGTTTCCGAGGCCTCCAACCAGGCTACCACTGCCTGGCGGCTTCCCAGGGAAGCGAGCCTTGGCACAGAGGGCGGCCAGAGCTGCGATGGCGAAAGGCAGGGGCAGCGCTGTAGGATGGCACCGCGTGTCCGTACGGAGAGGCTGGCCCGCCCTCCACTTTGGTGGCATGGATGTCCACCAGCTGATGGCTCCCTTCTGGCCTCTGCTTCCAGGTTCAACAAGGACATCGAGTTTATGATCGGCCACAAGCCCAACATCTTCTGGCAAATCACGTGGCGAGTGGTCAGCCCACTGCTCATGCTGGTCATCTTCCTGTTCTTCTTTGTGATCAACGTCAATAAGGAGCTGATATATAGCGTCTGGGACCCTGCCTATGTGAGCCTGCAGGAGCTGCTGGGCGGGAGGGGGGGAGGGGAAAGGAGGGGGCGTGCCCTCTGTGAGGAGGTGTGTGTGGGAGGAGCCTCAGGTCTCCCTTCCCTCCCCCACGAGGGCCAGGAGGTGATAATCTTGGGGAGAAGGCGGCACTGTGCCCCTGAAGGAGGCCTTGCTGGCTGTCTATGTCTGTTCACCATGTGGCTGCTCTCTCCCCAGGCGGAATTTCCCAAATCTGAGAAGGTCCCATACCCAGGCTGGGCGTACGGCGTGGTGGTTGTCGTTGCTGGTGTGCCCTGCCTCACCATCCCTTGCTTTGCCATCTACAAGCTCATCCGGAACCACTGCCAGAAGCAAGAAAGCCACCAGGGGCTGGTCAGCACCATGTCCACGACCTCCGTAAATGGGGACGTGAAGTATTGAGTGCCCCGCCTATGGCTGCATGTGTGCATGTACATATGCATGTGTGAGCATGTGAGCGTGCGCATGAGTATATGTATAAAAGCATAAATGCATGTAATCATATAAGTGTGCACACGTGTGTATGCACATAGGTGAGAGTGTGTATAATGCATATACATGTGTTATATGTATATGTGTACATGTGTACAAGTCATGTGCACATGGGTATGTGTGCACATGTGAGTGTGTACACACATGCTTTTGTGTATGTGTCAGTATGATTTTTGTGTACATGCCCTGCACATGTGTGTATAAATACATAGAAATATACACGTGTGTAAGGATGTGTATATATGCATATACATGTGTCTTGGTGAATACATGTGTCTGCACATGCTGGTTGTATATTTATAAATGTGTGGGTATGCATGTGACATGTATAGTAGTGTGTGTGTGTGTGTGTGTGTGTGTGTGTGTGTATTCATGTGTATGCATGTTGTCCTGCAGTATACATGTCTCCCACGTGGGGCCCAGCTGTCCTCTTGATTCCCTGCATCACGAATATGGTGGGACCTATGCTCAGGTCCTGCCCTGCCTTCCGAGGGAAAGTCTGTCAAAAGCGACAGCAGGGAGGCCATGGGAGACGGGCATGTGTTGCTGTCCTGGCTCCTTGGAACAGTCCTGTTGCCCCGCCCCGTCCCTTCGCTGTCCCCCTGTGACCTAGGAGCTCCTGCTGTAAGGTTGCCGTTTTACCCCATGAGGAGGAGCCCCAGCTGCCAGAGGCTCCAGCCCCTCGGCCAGTGAGACCTGCCTGTCCGCCAGCTGGCAGGGAGTCCTGAGTCTTGGCAATGTTCAGCTTAATAAATACTAACCCATTTAATCATTGCTTCTGGCTGCCATGAATAGATGACAGTTAAATAAAACTCAACTTGGCATAATTTAAGGCAGAAACACCCTTTGTGTTTTTTTTAAGAGGACATTAACTGTGTGAATTTTTAGCCTGATGTTGGGAAAGATGGGTTACAGGGTAACTCGACTTGGTCACTAAGGTTGAGGACAGCTCATACGTCCTGAGCAATGTCAGGAACCGTGAGTTCCTGCCAGACCGTCTGCTTGGGGCCACTCAGTGAAGGGAAGGTCTCCTCCCATCCTGTACGCAACATTCAACCTCAGCCAAAGTCACTGGGCACTTGGGGTGTTTATTTCAATGAACTAGCCACTTCCATTTCCCATGGAAACATCTGGAAGTTGAAGTTAAAGTGGACTTTCTGAGAGTTCTCTGGGCAGGGATGGGAGAGCTGAGTGGAGGGTGGGATCTGCTTCCAAGTCCCATCCGTCCACTGGAGATGCTCCACGCACGCTCCCCTCTTCCAGCGATTCCTGTGCAACAGATTTCATCCCCAAAGCCCGGCTGAGAACCTCCTAACACCTTGGCGTGTCTAGAGGCCTCCTATGTGGCCCATCACCTGGCCATCATGATTGATAGAAACCTCCAGAGGTGGAATGGGAGGCCTGCCGACAGCTCTCCACCCCTGGCCACGATAGTGCATCCCTGCCCAGGAGGCCCACGGGCACCATGACGCTCTGGACCCCACCCCCAGGTGCCTCTGGCCTCTGTGGGAACTCACCTCCTTCTCTTCATGAAGTTCTTCTGACCCTTGGCTGGGAAACACTCATCAGCATCTGGGGATGCAGGAGAGGGGAGACTGGGTGGGCAAAACCCATCAGTTCCTGTCCCCTGATGAATGCCTCATTTTACAGAAGTGCCATCTTTGCAAATGGTCAAACATGCAGGTTTTATGAGCATAAAGTATATAAATAAACCATTGTATTTCATATTTGCAGCCTAAGTGTTGTCCAAATGTAGAGGGATGAGCAGAGGGAACAGCCGAGTCACCTGAAAGGAGGGTGCAGAGCTGGGGTTCTGTTGCGAGGGCTTCCTCTGTAGAAGCCATGGCCAGGTGTCCATGGCACACAGGTGTGGTGGGTGGGTGGCCCTGTGTGCAGTGGGTGTCACCCTGCCCACCTGTTGCCTGAGGACAGCAGTGGATGGGTGCTAAGTGTGGGGAGAAGCTACAGGGCCAAGAGGAGGAAGCCCATCCTCCCCCACCCCCAGCCCTGACCCCAAAGGTCACCACTGTGTGATTCCATTTATATAACATTGTTGAAGTGACAACGATAGATTAGAGGTGTCAGGGGTTAGGGAGAAGGGTAGAAGTGGAAGGATGGTGGGTGTGGCCAGGAAAAGAGACAGGAGCGGCCCTAGCTGGTTTGCTCAGAGGATGGAGGGTCGGCGTGTGGACTGAAGGGTCCTGGGTTTGATTCCAGTCCGGGGCATGTGCCCAGGTTGGGGGCTCAATCCCCAGTGGGTAATGTGTGGGAGGCAGCCAATCAATGGTTCTCTCTTATCATTGATGTTTCTATCTCTTTCTCCCTCTCCCTTCCTCTCTGAAATCAATAAAAATACATTTAGAAAATGAAAAAGAGACAGGAGGGACCCCCCTCGTGATGAACAGGGCCCGAGTTGACATATGGACATCGGCATCCCATTGTTGATGAGATATTTGCAAGATGTTGCCATTGGGGGAGCTGGGTGCATGGCTCTCTGTAGTGTTTCTTAGATGATTATCTCACAGTCAAGACAGCCAAGTGTGCCCCAGTCTTGAGCCCCTGAGTGTCCCCGCAGGGAACAGGGGCCTTGTTGGAAATGGTTCATTGGTGGTGGCACCTGCGGGCTGGCAGCACTGAGCATACAAGATGGGAGGGGGCCAGCGAGGGACTGCATGCCAGAGCGGGGCCTGGCTGAGTTAGCAATTAACTGGCCCTACGGTTTTCCTTTAAATAACAAAAAAATACACCTGAAGGGGAGACTGCTCCTTGCTTCAAGTCCCAGCCGAGGCTCGAGCATTGAGTCTCCAGGGTTCCAGAGACCAGGCATGACGAGCGCCCCGGGACTAGACCCGCTGGAGGACAGCAGCGAGGATGAGAGGCCCAAGTGGGACAACAAGCTCCAGTACTTCCTGAGCTGCGTGGGGTTTGCCGTGGGCCTGGGCAACATCTGGAGGTTCCCGTACCTGTGCCAGAGCCATGGGGGAGGTGAGCCAGTGCAGCATCCTCAAACAGAAGGGGAATGGCCGCACCTCGGGCTGGGTTGTCACTGGTTCCTGCCGGGTGGGAGTGGTCCTCCCAGGAAGAGCACTACGCCATGGCCCAGGGAGAAACCATCTGAGGGCATCAGAGCTCTTGGGACCCAGGCGAATCCTCCCAACGCTGCTCCTGCCCAGCCTTGCCTTGGGGTTGCCCATGTGTGCAGACTTGCCAGGCCTTTGGTTCCTGAGTCTTTGCTCTTCCAAAGAGGTCTGGCTTGGAGCATCCCTAAGACAGGCAGAGGCTGCAGGTCCTGATCGTGCTGGGTGCTCGGGTCTGTGGCTCTGGGAGAGGCCGAGGCTCCTCTCACACAGCTCAGCCACCAGGACCAAGCTTTTTGTTCCACTCCTTCCACTGCACGGCCGACAAGGGACAGAGGGACAGGTCCCACCCCAACACGGGGCACAGCTGGGCAGACAACCTGAGGCATTGACCTTCTCCAGAATCCTGTGTGCATGAGGCAGCTCCATGTCCTGAGGGAGCCTGTCACGGGGGGTCACGGGGTCTCAGTAGGAACAGAACAGCCCATTTGCTGATGAAACCACCTCGGAAGCACTGACAAGGGATTTAAAACAGCAGCACCGGGCCGGACGTGTGGTCTGTCCCCTCTCAGGGAGGCCGCGGTGACATCCTGCCCAGGTGCCATCCCCTGCTGACCGCAGCGTCCTTGCAGGAGCCTTCCTCATCCCCTACCTCATCGCCCTGGCCTTCGAGGGGATCCCGCTGTTCCACCTTGAGCTTGCCATCGGCCAGCGCCTGCGCAGAGGCAGCATCGGGGTGTGGAAGGCCATCTCCCCCTACCTGAGCGGAGTCGGTACGCTGCCTCTCTGGGACTCCTGCCCACAGCTGCTGGGGAGGGACAGGGGGAAGGATGCAGTTCCAAGGGCGAGGTGGGCTTGCTTGGGATTCGGAACCTGCAGGCAAAGGAGGGACCCTTGGGTACAGGTGCAGGGACACCCAGGCAGCAGTGTCCCTGAGGGAGCCATCCCTAGTCACACTCCGAGGAGGACTCATTGGTTCCCCTGAGGACAGACTTGGGTGGAGTGAGCTCAGGGTGCAGAAGAAGGAGGCAACAGGCTGGCCCTTCGGACAGCTCAGGCTGTCCCATGTCGTAAGCCCTGTGGACCTGTGCAAACGTGGAGCATGCATGTCCGGGAAGCTTGTGGGCATGGATGAAGGGGGCTGAACAGGACTTCATACAACGATGCGTCCTCAGCCAGAAGATTCGTCCAGATGTGGGGCAGCAGAAATGGCGGAAGGTGAGTCAAGACAGTCTGTAACAGGAAGGACGGTGACTGTCCATTGTCTGCCCACAGGGCTGGGCTGCTTCACAGTATCCTTCCTGATCAGTCTCTACTACAACACTGTCCTGACCTGGGTGCTGTGGTACTTCCTCAACTCCTTCCAGCACCCACTGCCCTGGAGCACCTGCCCACTGAACCTCAACCAGACAGGTAGTGCCCGGGACCGGGGAGTTCACACCCTGCCTTTGCAGGAGCCCCTCAAGGTCACCATGAAAGAGCGCGTCTGAACCCCGATTCTCTTCACCCGTGTCTCTGCTCACTGCTGGACCCAGGGGCCCACAGACACGCTCTGCTGGGGGCTCAGAGCCACGCTGGGCCCAGTAATGAGAGGGGTAGCAGGGGGTTGCTGTGTTGGCTGAATTAGGTTGTTAGGTCCAGACCCCAGCCTGGTGCTGGATCTGACTAGATCTCGGCGACACGGAAAACGGTCATTGCTTTCAGCAGTTTGCTCACTTTCTCCTTTCCCACCTCTGGTTGGTATGATCTTGCATCTCACTCATTCTGAACAATGCCGACCCTGGGTGCCTGACCTAAGTCAGGCCTGGAGGCTCCCTGTGTCCATCCCATTGGCCATGCTGGGTGCCGGGGCAGAGGAGGACACCGGTCCAGGGTGGATTATGCACAGTCTCATTTCTGGGTGGAGGATTGCAAAGCCCGAATTTCACCCGAGCCCTGAGGTCAGCCCCGTGACCAGACCTCCTGGTTTCAGGGTTTGTGGAGGAGTGCCAGGGCAGCAGCTCCGTGAGCTACTTCTGGTACCGGCAGACGCTGAACATCACGGCCGACATTGACTACAGCGGCTCCATTCAGTGGCGGCTGCTGGTCTGCTTGGCGGCCTGCTGGGCAATCCTGTACCTGTGTGTCATCAGAGGCATCGAATCCACTGGAAAGGTGAGAGCCTGCGGGCAGACCCTCTCCCTCACTCCCTCCAGCTGCAGAGTCCTCCCCTCCCCCACTGCCGTCAGAGTGAGTTTAGAGGCTCTGCTGGGAGAGGCTTGGGTATCAAGTCTGTCATATCTCCTTGGAGAATCGATGCCTTTTTCCTTGCAGAGTGACTGACCTTACCCAAGTCATAGTCTTTGGTCTGAAGTCAATTAAGATATTAACCTAGCCACCCAGCGTTCTTTGACCATGTTGACATCTATGTTTTTCCATTCTGCTTCTTTTAACCTGATGAAATCTCTGTTTAAAGTCTGTTTCTTGAACTCAACAGCATGCAGTTGGTCTTGCTTTTCCCCAACCTAATCTGATGCTCCCTACCTTTTGTGTAGGGTGTTTAGATCATTTACATTTAATGCAATTATTGACCTGGTTCATATCACCCGTCACTTGTGTTTGTTTTGTACTTGTCAAGTCTGTTCTTTGTTTCATTTTCTTTCTTTTTTGAGTATCTCTCCCCTCCCCTCCATTTAATCCTCACCTGAGGATATATTTTTCATTGATCCCAAAGAGAGAGAAAGAGAGAGGGAGGGAAAGAAAAACATCGATATAAGAGAGAAACATCAATTGGCTGCCTCACATACAATCCCTGACCGAGGATTGAACTCATAACTTAGGTATGTGCCCTGACTGGGAATTGAACTTCTGACCTTCGGTGTGCAGGACAATGCTTCAACCAACTGAGCCACACCAGCCAGCGTCATATCTATCTTTTTAAGTCACTGTGTGCAGTGCCGGGCACCTTCAGACCCCGGCTCCCGGTCGTGGCTGTGCGGCTCTTGCACAGACCCACCCATGTGTGCACCTGAATGTTCCTCAGTGGGCGTGTGGGTATCACAGCTGCTCCCACATGAGGGTCTGCACACCTGAGAGGACTGGAATTACCGAGGGAGACAGAGCAGCCATGAGACCCAACAAGCCAGCCAGATACTCTGATGGCCTGGTTATGAAAGTCCCTAAAGATGTGTCAGGGTGACCTCAAAGTCAGTCTGGGGGGCAGTGAGAAAAGAGATTTATTTTGCATCGATGCCATGTGTGCAGACTCCTGCCAAACCTGGCTGACAGTGGGTGCCATGTGGGAGAAGGTATGGGCAGGTGTGGGACCAGGAGACCCTGAGAGTGGCCAGCCAGGGGGTGGGTGGGAAGAAATGTCGGTGAAGGAAGAACTCAATGCCTTCTGTGTGAACAAGAGGGAGGCCACCGCATGGGAAGTCGGTGGTCCCCTCAGCGGATCCACAGACACCTACGTGAGTCCGCTGTGGCCATCACAGAGAGCTCCAACCCCTCCAAGCTTGACCGGATCCCACCCACCACCTCCCTGGTGCCCTCCAGCCTGACCTGACTGGGTCCCAGATTAATGACGGGCCACTGGCCACTGAGGCATTTCCAGCAGGCCTGCCTCTCTAAAGATTTTTTTATGTGGAACAGATACCATTGAAAAGTCTCAC